TCAGGTCAATAAAACATGGGCATAGTAACAATTTTTATACTACATTTATCCATTTATACTAACCTCACTCCTTTGTAACAACTAAAGCAAAAATGTAATTATTTCAGAAAATCTTGTCAGGACCCCACCTTGATGTTTTAGGACCCCACCTTGATGTTTCAGGACCCCACTTTGGGTCCCGACCCCAAACTTTGGGAAACACTGTAACAATGTGATTCCTTATTGTGGCCAGGAGATGGGACTAAAGAGCTTGAAGCGAATCCAAAGAAAGACAGAAACTTTCTGTAATAAACAGCCCACAAAACTGTTTCTTTTCCTCATAATTTCATTGCAGAGAATGAAAGAATAAAAGTTTCCCGCATACTTTTTTTTACTTTAAATCAATTCCACACAAACTAACCACTATCTGAACTCCTTAACTTTCTGTCTTGAACAGCAAAGCCTAACGAAGGTTTGATTTCTGCACAACTGAACAATTTTACAAAACTTATTTGAATGTAAAGATTAAAGTTGAAAGACTTGAACAAGTGAGAACATGAAGTCCTGTTTAACTCCTGGATGTTGTTTTCTGACCTGACCGGGTCAGAACATGTCCAACACAGTGTGGTGGGCAGGAGGAAACATGTCTGCAGGTCAGAGTTTCCCCTCATGATGACAGACTGCTGCTGTCGGATCATCAGAGGAGTCAGATTTATTTTGTGCCATCAAACCCTGATATAATTCAACTCAAGATGTCTGGCACAGCATTCGGACGTTAGCCAACACAGAAACTGGCTGGAACTTGGACAGGCTAACAGAAATATGAGCTAAAATCTGGTTTGAGCTGGAAGACATGCACAATGTATATTTTAAAATAAAACCTAAGATGTTTAAATAAAATACGTGTTTTTTAGCTATTAAACTTTTATTTAATGTTGGAACTTGAACTTATTTTGCTTGAGTTTTGAAGAAATTTATAGTTATTATAGATAAGTACTGATATTATAAACAACACCAGATTATTAGGGTTTCCTTATTTTATAATACTTTTATAATGTTTGATCTATTATGTGTTAATTGAAATAATAGCTACATGTCCGAGTTCAAATACAACACATAATTAAAAAGCTGTGTTAACATTAGGGGTGAGGTCTTTGTCTGAATGCCTGTGATTCAGTCGTAGGCCAGCAGGGGGCGAACTCAGGCATTGAAGAATGTGTACGGTATTTAAACGGGGACTTCCTGTTTTTCATTCAGTGTGGTTTTGACTTGTCAGCCGGTGGCATATATAAACCTCATTCACTCCAGAATTCTGGGTTGTATGACATTTATTTCCTATCGCAGATCATCTTATCTAACACTTGTGTTTTCATCTGATTTCAGCTGATATTAAAACACGTATTTCTTACAGTTTTGTAAAAACTGAAAATTGGTTCAGAAAATTTCCTACAAACATAAAATCGTTACACATTTTAGCAACAATTGTCAGCTGTAGTTTGAGCAGCCTGCTTTGATTTGTGGATAAATTTTTTTTTTTGTTTACTTCAACAACATCCTTATGACAGCATATATCATGATCCAACAGACATGTTTTATTTGTATTTAAGCTAATACACTCCTGATCAAAATCTTAAGACCAGTCAAAAAAGTGCAAGAATTTGCATTTTGCACTGTTGGATCT